TTGAGGTGCCCGACGAAGAAGCAGGAATCTCGATGCATGCAATGGCCGGTGATGGGTCTCCTCTCAGATCTGGAGTGAACCGATGAGAAACCGCCCAAATCTGGAATGAACGGATGGGAATGAGCTCAGATCTGACTCGATAGCCTCCAAACCGTTGCTGAACCGCGAGAACACCTGCAAGAACTCAACGCCGGAGGGGTTTTCGGCGTAGAGCCTCCGACGCACAAGTCAGTATGTGAAAGAGATGAAGAGAGCTGCTCTGAGAGAGCAGCATCAATAATGGAGAAGAATATAGAATGAATGGGAGTTAGGATTTTGGAGTTACCTCAGCTCCTTTATATAGAAGTAAAACATCTACCTGAAGTCCCCAAAATGCCCTGGCCGACTTATTGGAAATATCTAAAATACCCTGGTTGGTTCACATTCTGTCCACCTCCTAATCAGCATCTAGATTCTTCCTTATCCTTTAATAGCTTCCCTCTGATATATTGAAGTGTATTGGAGTCATCTGGGGTCCATGCACTCCGAGATTACCTCATTCGACCTCGAGACATTCTTGTATTTCGAGCCGGCTGGGTCATTCCCCAATCGCTAGTAGATCCTCATACTTATTCATCCTTCCAGACGGAATCGACTTAGGTTAGTCGACATGGTGCAAGTCGACTAAGAAAAGCATCTGGACCTTCGACCGAATGTATTATCACGAGGATGCATGTGGGTGGAGTCGACTTCGAGTGAGTTGACTCGACGATGTCCGAGCCGAGACAACATAAACTGCTCTATGATAGTATGGTTATATCATCTAGTCCCCCCAAAAATTACTCGAAGCGACTCTGTGCTTACGAGTAGATTTTGTCGACTGAATATCTCGCTCGAATCTTTTTACCAGTCCTGCTTGCTTGTCATTACCCTAAATCATGTCAGCTTGTTACCTCGACTTCCTAGTAACTTGTTTAACCGATAAATTCCGAATTGCTGGGATAAGTCCGAATCTTTTTCAAATTTCAAATTTGAAAAAGGGATTTTGAAAGCTGATGAGACGTTTTCTCTCTCCACCGCTTCGTATTCCATGCGCCATCTGGACCGTTGGTCCTGTTTTTTATCTAAAGGCTAAACCCTCTATCCCTCTATAAATATCATCCCCTTTCATCATCAGTACTTTTTCGCACTCAGAGCTTCCAAACTTTCTGTTTCTCCGGCAAATAAAACTTTTCAAGTTTACCGGCGCCCGTCTCGTTCTCCGGCGTTCTTCTCAGGCTTCTCCAGGACCTTTCCGACAATCACCATGTGTAAGTTCCCTTTTGCCTTTTGATTTATTACTATGTATGATTATTATATATTTTTTTTTTCCCTTTTCTTGTTTTTCTGGACGATATGTTCAGATTCTGCATGCTCACCAGATTCTGGGATTATCTGGGTAAATTTCTAGCGATTTATCCTTAGATCTTTAGTTGCAGACTTTCTATTTCTCCGAGTGTTTTCGCTCAGCAATCGATTCGGGATCGATTTTTCTGCTTCTTTTCGATTGTTGCTGATTCGATACTCCTTCCTCTAGTTGAATAAGTTAAGGATGGTGCATGCATTCCCAAGGGTTTTCTATTCTGTTATACCTTTATCGGGTCGATTTGCTCGCTTCTTTCATGGTTTTATTCTCTTGGAGTCGAATTGCGGCTGCCATTAGATTTTTATATTGACCGTCGTCTTCTCTTTTCTAGATTCCAACTCTGCTTCTACCTTCGACCCCGTGTCTGGTTCCCTTGCTCATGAAATCGACAATTATTTGGGGTCTAATTCCGCTCAAATGGCTCATACTAGAACGAGCGCTTATCAAAATGTCGAGCCAGAGGGGCCTATTAATGCTAGTCCCCCGCCCTTCGACATCGACCGGGATGTGTACACTCAGGCGCTACTATCGGGCACTCTCATTGAGGACCCTGAAGCCCCTCATGCTCCCGAGTCTTCTCGACTTGGTCTAATCCCTCGAGGTATTTCTCTAAGGCCCTTAGATACCCCCGCATAGATCAACCCCTACGCATTCATCAATAACAGTTCCTTCAGTTAGACTTGCGATTGCAGCATGTTCCATAGCGAAGTTAGCTGCTCCTAACCCCATTTTCTTATGCTACTGCAGCCGAAATCGATGGCTTCAGGGAGTACAGTGGACTTCCCTCTGTACTGGGGATTGGTCGCTCCTAAAATGGATAACGACTTCCGTCATCCTCCCCGCGGTTGCTTTACCTTCTTCGTAGATCAAATAATGTCGGGACTGCACTTCCCGATCCAACCTGAGCTGTTATCGCTGAGTAATCTTTTCGACATACCAATAAAACAATTTACCCCCAATTCCATACGAATAATGGTGGCCATTATAGTCGTCACCCATATAGTGCTAGGTGGCTGTGTACCCGAATTTTTTCTTTACTGTTATGGATATAGGTTTAGCAAGGGTTCCCACTGTTTGGGCCGTCGTGTGGGTGTTACCTTTCTCGACGACTTATCTTCTAATATCACCGAATGGAAGAAAAAGTATTTCTTCGTTCGTCCCGCTCCTGGTCAATATCCCTTTACCAACGAGTGGTACACCGATAAGGTGCCGCAACGCAAGCACCCCCGTTCTCCAAAATTTGCGAACATGTTAGAGGAGTTGAATAAGCACACTTGGAGTGCTCGTCAAGTAACCAAAGATAGCTCCCTTCTCAATCATGTCGGGATCTGTATTGACAAGAACTCTCCTCGACTTGAGGACCCTCGTAAGCCGCCTATTGTTTCAGTCCCTCTCGACCTTATGCGTTTATCTATATACTTCTTTATCTCCCTGCTATGTGATCATATAATTACTTAATTATTGCTTTTGTTATTTTATTTCGACAGTGGGTGCGCTCCAGCGTTTCAAGAAGAAGAAGGTCGAGGCGGCCTCTAAATCTCCCGCTCAGTCTGTCCCTTCCCAGGAGCCTGAGAAAGGTTCGGGATCGGACGCTCTCGCTACAGTGGTCGAGACGACTGCTGCTAAGAGGTCTAAGGTGGTGCTCCCCTCGGCTTCCAAGTCGACACCGCAGTCGGGTCCTCATTCACGCAAAAGGACTCAAGACGAGAGGGACATAACTCCGGTTCGGGACTCCCTGAAACGCCTAAAAAGGAAGGAACCGATATCCGAGGGGAATGCTGCACCACCGTCCCTAGTGGAGATACGGTCGGTGACTCTGCAGCAACCCTCTTGTCTTTATGACAACCCTGATCCCCTTCAGATTCATAACTATCTCCAGTCGATCCTACCAGAGGACGACAGGGCCCGAACCGACGGTAACCCTTATGACAGGGCCCGTTATGCTGCCCGGCTCATTCCTCGGGTGAGTTCCATCTTGTGTTCCCTTTTCTTTCTTTCGTTATACATTTCTTTTACCGCTTTCCTAATATCGCTCTCTCTCCTTCTCAGCTTCTTGCTTGCATTCTGCCCTCGATGATCAAGGAGGCGACCTCCCCCCAAAACAATGTCAAGGTTTTGGGGGAGAAATACTCGGCTAAGTGTGATGAGCTCAAAGCCAAATTGGAAGAGCTCGAAGCCGCCCAAGCTGTCATCGCGAAACTCTAATCTGACGAGGAGGCGGCGGTCCGCAAAGCTGAGAAGTTGAGGGTCGATCTGGCCAAGGCCCATGAAGAAGCCTTGGTCGAGAGAGAGAATGGAATTCAGGAAGGTCGTAAGACGTTCCTGAAGTCCCCCACGGGTGCTGTTTTTCTCGACCACTACCGTAAGGCTGTGGTCGGTGCATTTTGCCGTTCATCCGACTTCCTCGACGAGTTGGTTCCTACTGCAGTCCAGTACTTCGACTTCGCCTGCGACACGTGGGAACAGGCCATGGCCCAACCTGACTTCCCTAGCAAGATCGATCGGGAGGTGGTGAAGGAGACTCTCCCGGACCCCGTTGGCTTCCGGAACCTTCCTGGTCGTGAGTGGTGGGCTGGTCTCGAAGCTAAGGCCATTCATGCAGCCGGACTTTCTTCTCTGCTCGAAGTCCCTCCCACTCCTCTAGTCGGTCCGACAGAGCTAGTCCAGCCGAGTGGGGCTGACTATAAGGAACCAGTCGACAAGGAGAGAGAGGTCGAGAGACCAGATGAGCAGCAAGAGACGGAGACTGCTGGAGATGGGGAAGTCGGGACTTGATGTTTTTCATTATTTTGTTTGCTTCGTTTGTACCTTTTCTTTTTTATTTTGCCTTCTCAACCTATTTTCTGATGTAAAGGTTGAGGAGGTCTCGGATCTAAAAACTTTTCTATTAATATAATGTTATCTTATTCAACTCGCCATTAGTCTGTGCTCTATCGATTCTTGCGGTTAAGCGATAATGATTAGTTTTTTACTGTGTTTTTCGATGTTTGTGCTTGTTATATCATATGGGATTTTCCTAAGTACTGTAACTCATCCTCTCCTCCCAACCTTTCTTGCGAGTTGGTCGAAGTCGAGCAATAATTTTTAACAGCTTCTTACCTGTTGAACCTCAGTTTTTCGAGTCGACTTCTCCCAACCCTTATTGCGAGCTGGTCGAAGTCGAGCAATAATTTTCAACAGCTTCGTAACTGTTGAACTTCAAGTTTTTTTTTTTT